TCCCCTAATGGTGAACATAATTCAAAATGTATTATATAAAGTAATAGACCTCCTCACGTGGGACCATTCTGCCTATAGAGATACTATACAACTTTAGTACACTATTTGGTTCAGAATATTTACTTCCTGTTTTCTTCTTCTAAAAATTAGCTGTGTGTTATGCTGAGTTGCATCTTATGGAGTGAAAAATACGGTAATCTCAAAAAATACTGATTAAAATTTAAAAACATAAATCAAAACCCCACCCGACCCCAGAATATGAAAATATGTGATAATCAAAACTTCTTCATGTTGAACAGAATTCTGGGAATGCTTAAACGTCTTGCAAACAGTGGCTATGTTTGCATGCCACACTATGCCAAAATTGTTGACAATTTGTATTAGAGTAAATAAAGAAGTATGTTCGTTGCTTTCCTAACAAAGTACAATCATAAACAAAGAACAAACCCTGGTTTATGAGGCTGACTTGTTAGGGAACTGAGGTGATATTCCCCAGATAAACAGCCCTCCTCCAGTTAAGGAGAAAATGCTTTTAAAAAACACTTATATAATAAGGTAACACAAACAGTAAGACAGCAATAACAGCTTAAACCAATTGCTTCTATAAACAAAAATCCAGAAGTGATAAAATACCACAGCAATATGTGGGTAGAACAAATATTTTCATACCAGAGCAAAAGAACTATCAATAACATGGCAAGCTCTTCATTTGTATTGAAGGTTGTCTCAGCCTTCCATCCTTCAGAGGTCAGTAAATTGAGTATCCAGCTCACTAGGGTTGGGGACAATGTATTCTGAGTAACTGAATTATAAAACCGCTCAGAGAGGATTGAAGTGAGTTTGGAATTGTAATTCCTGTACTAGTTTTGTGGAAAACAACAATTTGATTTATAAGACAACGATATGACAAAGGAAGAGTTACTAGATTATTTCACGGAATCATCATAAGTGAAAACATGTTTGGGATATTGTAAAGGAACTAATACTTTTAAAACTGCTACTAATTAAAATCGATGCCATGCTACTATTTGTCACTGAGAAGGCTTTGGGGCTAAATCACATTCAGCTCTTTAAAAAAAGAGGTTACCTACCTGTAACCATAGTTCTTCTAGTGGTCCTCTGTGAATCCACACAATTAGGTTGTTCTGCGCCTGCGCTGAACATCTCACAAGTTTCTAGAGCTTAAAAACATGTGATTAGTGGGACGTTCCCCTGTGGAGCGCATGCTCCGCCTATCCTAAGTCCCCTCAGTTCCTGATAATTGTCCGCTGGGTAAGAGAACTATTTAAGATAAAATGTGACAGACAGAGGGGAGGATGTGTGGGATGTGTGGATTCACAGAGGACCACTAGAAGAACTATGGTTACAGGTAGGTAACATCTTTTTCTTCTTCGTGGCCTCTGTGAATGCACACAAATGGGTGACTGGCAAGATTCACTTACCAGATGGTGGGACGTCACAATAGGAAGGATGCCAAGACAGCTCTGCCAAAACTCCGTGCTCTGACATCTAAACAGTAATCTCTAATAAAGGTCAATGGAGTAGACCATGTGGCCACACTGCAGATACGAGGGAGTTCAATTACATGCTGGAGGGCAGTGGACATTGACAGCACTCTGGTGGGATGTGCTGTTAAGTGTTCAGGAGATGATTTGCCTGATAACTCGTATGCCAGTGATATAGTTTGGACAATCCATCTAGAAATAGATTGTGGGGAAGCTGGTGCCCCTTTATGAAAGCATAGAAACCATGAAAGCATAGAAAAAGTCTGTGTTGACAGTGATGGAAAGAGAGTTGGCAAGATAATTGGCTGATTAAGATGAAATTCTGATACAACTTTGGGTAAGAAAGAGATATCAAAGTATAATGTGATCTTATCCAGATGGAACTGGATAAAGGGTGGATCAGAATGGAGCGCAGCGAGTTCACAGCGAGTTTAGTGGATGTTATTGCTACCAGGAAGGAATTTTTCAGTGATAACAATTTGAGATTGCACATAGCCGTCGGTTCAAAGGGAGGGCGCATAAGTATATTGAGAACAAGCTGTAGGGACCACTGAGGGATGATACATTGGCGTGGACAACGAATATTGTTGAGTCCTTTAAGAAATCTTTTTACAGTCGGGTGAAAAAAGAGTTTAGTTGATTTAGAGTTGGGAGGTTGATGAGCTATGATAGCTGAGATGTACACTTTCAGAGTGGAGTAAGAGAGTATGAAGTTAAACAGATGAAGGAGAAAGGTCAGTAAAGTTTTCAAAGAGACTGGTGTTGCAGGTAAGTTGTGTGAATCAGTGAAGGAGATGAATGCTTTCCATTTATTTTGATATAGCAGCTGGGTCGAGGGCTTTCAAGCTGTATCAAGCATGTTCTTTATGGCAGGAGTATCCTCCAGGCTGTCAGATTCAGAGATGGGATGTCTGGGTGGTATATCATTCCGTTGTCCTGTGTGAGAAGATTGGGGGTCAGAGGGAGCCTGAATGAATCTGTTGACATAGACGTGAGGTGAAGAAACCACAGTTGCCTTGGCCACCACGGGGCCAGGAGGATTACATCAGACTGGAATTGATGGAGTCGAATGATAGCTTTCTGTATGAGTAGTATGGGAGGGAATAGATAGAGAAGGTCTCTGTCCCAGTCTATCATGAATGAGTCTCCAAATGAATTTTTGTTGGCACCGGCTCGGGAACAATCATGTTGGCATTTGCTCGTGAGGCGAAAACATTGATGGCAGGAGTGCCCTGGCGGTCGCACAAGATATTGAAGATAGTGTTGTTTAGGGACCATTCGTCCTCAATGACAAGTGGCTGAGGTAATCTGCGAGGGAGTTCTCTTCTGTGGCTATGTGGATTGCTATTGGGAAGATGTGGTGTAAATAACATCATTATCATAGCTTGTTCACGTAGTAAAGGGCTATGGTGTTGTCTGTGATGAGTTGGACTGCACGTCCTCTGATGAGTGGCAGGAAAGCATGAAAGGCTCTTATAATTGCTAAAAGTTTGAGATTATTGATGTGCAGTCATTTCTCTTGACTTGTCCATAGGCCATTGATCTTGTGCTTGCAGGCAGTGTGCTCCCCATCCCGACGGGCTAGCATTGGTGGTAACTTGTATCATTGGTTGAAGAGGAAGAAAAGGTCTTCGAACACCTAGATTTGGGAGAAACATCCACCAGGTTAGTTGACGGGCCAGTTCGGGTGTTACTGTTAGTCTCACAGATGTATGGTCCGTTACAGGATCAAACAGAGACAGGTACCATGATTGAAGCGATCTCATTTTGAGTTGAGCGTGTTGTATGACCGACGTTGTCGAGGCCATGAGTCTGAGTAGATGTTGGACGTGATGAGCTGATATGGAAGCTAGAGGTCGAAAAGGTTGAATAGCCTTTTTTAATTTGAGGATTCTCTCTTGGCTTGTAGACTTCGATGTATATGGCATTTTGAGAAGGTTCGAGATGTGATTTTGTGACATTCACCTTGAGGCCAGGATCTCGAAGTATGTCAAGAGTACGATGAGTGGCTCTGATGGCATCATGATAAGATATTGAGAGTATTAGCTAGTCATCTATGTAGGGAAATGTGTTGATACCTTAAGTCAAATGTATGCAGTGACTGGTGCCATGCATTTTGTGAAGGTTCTCGGTTCTGTGGAGAGCCCGAGAGAGCAGAACTGGTATGTGGTGTTGTCAAACTGGAACCGAAGAAATTTGTGGTGATACAGATGAATAGAGATGTGGAAGTAGGCATCTTGGAGATCGATCACGACGAACCAATCTCCCTGCAAAAGGAGAGGAATGATAGTGTCCAAGGTCAGCATTCTGAAGCGTCAAGATCAAATAAATTTGTTAACATTTCTGAGATCTAAAATAGGACGGATTCCTCCATCCTTTTTAGGTACTGTAAAGTACCTGGAGTAGAAGGCGTAATGCAGGTCAGATGAAGGGACTATGGTTATGGCTTGTTTTTGAAGAAGAGAGATGAAAGGATGACGGTACAGAGGTTGAAGGTCCTTGAAATGGTTTGTCAGATGATTGAGGTTTATATTGTCAATATGGCTGAAATTGTTGGTAGGATTGTTGATAGAATGGTTGTTGCATTGTGGACATTGGTACAGTGGTGCCTCGCACAACGGGTGCCTCACACAACGATGAATTCACACAACGATGCCTTTTTCTGTTAAATTTGCCACCTCACACAGCGATGTTTCCTATGGGGGATTTTCACACAACGATGTCTCTTTTTCGTTCCTGTAAAAGTGTCTTACAATGTTTGGAAGCTGTTTTAAATGCTTGCACTGGTTAGCCCACCTCCTGAACCCGATGCAACCTGATTTTGGTGTTGTTCTGACACTTCGTTAATTTATGGTAATTTCTTGTTTTCTCCATTGAAAACAACTGAATGGTCTGTCTAATGGTTTCCCACGGAGAAAACAAAAAATCATCATAAATTAACAAATACATTCCAATGGAGGAAACATTGTTTCACACAGCGATGTTTCCTATGGGGGATTTTCACACAACGTTGTCTCGTTTTCGTTCCTGTAAAAGTGTCTTACAATGTTTGGAAGCCGTTTTAAATGCTTGCACTGGTTAGCCCACCTCCTGAACCCGATGCAACCTGATTTTGGTGTTGTTCTGACACTTCGTTAATTTATGATGATTTTTTGTTTTCTCCGTGGGAAACCATTAGACAGACCATTCAATTGTTTTCAATGGAGAAAACAAGAAATTACCATAAATTAACAAATACATTCCAATGGAGGAAACATTGTTTCACACAGCGATGTTTCCTATGGGGATTTTCACTCAGCGATAGCAATCCGTCCCAATTGGAACGGATTAACCGGTTTTCAATGCATTCCTATGGGAAGTGGCGTTTCACAGAACGATGTTTCACACAACGTTGATTTTTTTGGAACCAATTAACATCGTTGTGTGAGGCACCACTGTATTTGTAAGTCTGTTGAATTGAGTAAGATCAGGCTGTCTTGCGTATTTTATGAAGATTTTCCATTACCTCATCAGTTTTTTGATTAAAGAGTCCGGTTCCATCAAATCATCAATCTTTCATCAGATCTTCAATTCTAGATCTTGCATCGTCTGAAAGTCCAGTAGATCGAAGCCATGCATGGCGCCTTTAGGCGATAGAAGTGGCCAGAGGCTTAGAGGCAGCCTCTGCAGTGTGGCGAGATGCAATTCTTTGCTGCTTATCCAATGTAGAGGCTTCTGTATGAATGTTGATGGCTTTTGTTTTAACTGAGTCTTGAGTTGATTCTAGTAGAGGCAGAATTTTTTCATAGTTGTCTATGGTACGCTCCCATCACCGCTTAATAATTCACCACTCGCAGTATGAATGAAGTGAGAGAACAGAGCCATCTACCAAGTATGTCCAGTTTTCTTCCTTCCCTGTTTGTGGGAGCATCGGAAGATTTGTTATGGGCTCTTGATTGGTTGGATTAGACTATTATTGAGTTTGGTGTAGGGTGCCTGGTGAGAAAGCCGGTATCGGGTCCGTGTGTGTTGTAGTGGTTTTCAGTTCGTCTGGAAATCTGTAAAGATGAGGGGGGTTTGTCCCAAGATTCTTTGATTAAATCAAGCATGACCAGAATAAACGTCAGACTGAGTGGAGGCATTTTGTCTTGACTGATGTCATTTAATACTAAGTTGAATTTAGGTGGTGGTGGTGGTTCCTCGATTTCAAGTTGAAGGAACTTGGCCATTCTCATAACCAGTTGGGAGTATGAAGTAAAGTCTTCTGATGGCGAAGGTGGATGGTTCTCATTGACATCGGAAGTCGGTGTCGGTAAGTCTGATGGTGACTCCTGAGATATATCTGAGCCAAAGTCTTCAATAGAGGAGGATGAAGATAAGTCTAAAGGTCTCTTTGTTAATGGTCATGCAGGAGGAGGCTGAACTGTAGAAGGAAGACGTGTGGGGTGTCTTTCTGTAGAGGACCTTTGTAAGTAATGGTGATTTGTAATGACGTTTGAGGGAGGACTTTGGAAGACTGTTTGGAATGTTTGGATTCAGAATGTTGAAGAGCCGGTAAGGAACATTTTAGAGTTGGTTTGGCTGGAAGAGTAGAATAGGTTGGTCCGGAATGTTGAGATCAGTGTCGGTGTTGAGAGGGAGATCGAGAGAGTGACGGTGAATATTGAGATGGATATGGTAGGGTATATTAGACTCATTTGGGTTCCTCATAATATAGTTGTTCTTGAGGATCTTCAATTAAGTAAGGATCATATTGATAGTATCTCTCCCTCTCTTCATATCATGATGATTGTGAGTAGTAGTAATACGATGTGAAGGGTCGTTCCGACGAGGTGAGACATTTTTTCATTTCTCTCGGTGTTTCATTGGAGAGTGGTATGGTGACTCAAAGCCAGAAAGCTCAATCGGAATTGCCTGCCCTGATGATGCAGGGCTCGAATGAGCCAAGGCCTAGCTGGATTGCACATCAGCTGGAGAAAGGCCAACACTAGGCGACAGGCTACCAGTGAATGCTGGAACTTGGGCCACTGGTAAAGGAGAATCGTCTCTCTCAGAAGTGGACCCTGGAGCATCTCTGGATGATCCTTCCATGATGGGAGATGGAAGAGTCAGCTGTGGTGGTTCAAGATGAGTTGATTTGGTCATTTTTGTCTTTTTCATGTTACTTTGTCCTTTTTAGAAGAGTCTAGAGCTTGAGTCGAGGTCTTCGATGTCGACACCAACTTTGATGCGGACTTCGACTTCTTGGAGTGTGGAGAATGAGTCACAGAACTAGGAGCAGGCACAGGTGAATTTTGCTGCTCTATTTGAGTGTCCAGGGACTGTGTAGTCTCCATGGAGGCCGCGGGTGGGTTGAGAGATTTCTCTCAAAGGTAAGACCTCAATCTTTGGAGGCAAAGTTTAAGGGCTGGTTTCGTAAGCCTCTTATACACGGTACAGGAATGGGCGGGATGTTGTTTACCCAGGCAAAACAAGCAGCGGCCGTGCCTGTTGATTAGCGGGATTCTGTTTGAGCAGATCACACATTGCTTGAAAGGGCCGGGAGTAGCCATAAAGGGGGGGGGGAAGGAAGGAGGGAAAAACAGTTGCAATAGGGGGGGAAGGGAAAGACAAAAACAGGATAAATAAAAACACGGGTAGATAAAAACAGGAAACAACTCACAGGGGAATGTCGAAAGAAAGTTCAATAGTAAGTACTGGGGCTGCCTTTGAAGATGGTTCGGCGACTGCAGCTGGTCCAGAATCGAGCTGCGCGGCTGATGAGTGGTGGGGCCGCTAGGGAACATATCAAGCCGATTCTGTTGAAGTTACATTGGCTACCAGTTGCTGCCCGAGCCCAATTCAAAGTGCTTGTTTTGACATATGAAGCCCAAAATGGCTTGGGCCCTGGATACCTGAAGGACCGCCTCCTTCCATATGAACCTATCCGGCAGTTAAGATCTAACCAGGGGGCCCTTTTGAAAGAGCCATCCCTTAAGGAGGTAAGAGAGAGGGCCTGTAGAGAAAGGGCCTTTTTGGCAGCTGCTCCCAGACTATGGAATGCTCTCCCGACTGAGATTCGTCTGGCGCCGACGCTGGTGACATTTCGGCGCCAGGTCAAAACCTTCCTGTTCCAAAAGGCTTTTAATTGAAATTATATCAGCTGTGGGTCTCATGGCAATTTTTAGAATATATATTTTTAATTGCATTTTAATTATTTTGCCCTTTTATTTTGCCTTTTTATTGTATTTTAAATGTTGTAAGCCGCCCAGAGACCTTCGGGTAGTGTGGGCGGGATATAAGTTAAATAAATAAATAAATAAATAATGATCAAAATAGAATATGATTGTTTAGAATGCTCTGACTGATTAGGATGTTCTATTTCTCTGAAACAGGTCTGAGCGACATGGCGGAAAAAAGGAACTGAGGGGACTTAGGATGGGCAGAGCATGCGCTCCACGGGGAAATATCCCACTAATCACATGTCTTTAAGCTCTAGAAACTTCTGAGACATTCACCACAGGCACAGAACAGCCCAATTTTGTGCATTAACAAGAGGCCACGAAGAACTAACATTTTTCTTATGGTATTAATTCACACCCCACACATTCCAAATAACAAATATGCAGTACCTAATGCTGTATATGACATACTGTATATTAAGTTAACTTGGATTAACTGTATTTAATACTTCTAGCATTTTTGAAGAAAAATACACTTTTGATGCTTAAACATTTGGTTTCACTTTTTAAATCCACCACTTCAACGTTCCTTTGGAGTCAAATATTGTTTTATCTGGGTTGGAGCCAGACTTAGTAACACTCAAGTAGGCACACTGAAATCACTGAGACTAGCTCAAGCCCTACAGATTCCAGTGTGTCTATTCCAAGTATAATTAAATTTAAATATCACTCTTCAATCTTATAAAAACGAGCATGGCTCATTAAAAAATCAGCTTTCCAATTCCTAAGAAAAATATACACATTGATATGCATTCTGAATATGGTATATTCAAGACAACATAATTACCTTGTAAATTTTTGCTTTCAAATAGAACAACTCTATTAACGTTGGAGTACTTGCAATAGCAGAATTAATGTAATCCAGGGCCAAGGAAAACTGACCAAGTTTGTCAAAGTGCTGAGCAAGGAAATAACGAACCCAAAGCAATGTAGTTGGGGGCTCTCGCTCTCCGTTTTCTGCAACAACATACATAATGTTTCAGAAAATAAAGTTGAATACTTGGAAAGACTAACAAAAAAAGCTTCTTAAAAATGCTTAACCACTTGAAAGAACACCAGCCTAGATAAAATATTAATTAAAAATTAAATTTCAGTTATGATTCAAAAACACTGAAACCTACCATATGGACTAAACAGATCACAGGTTTTCAAAGACATTTCATAACCAGTAACAAGTTCTTGAATTGTGGAAACCTGAAAAAAATAAATTGTTTTAGGATGTTAATGTCTGAACCATGCAAGTTCATACATAATCTAGATAAACATTAATATTTCTTTTTTTTAATTAAAGAAAACTAATAATAACAACATTAACATAAAATGTGTATGCATACAATACAATACACATATGATTTCCCTCATGTGCCACACTCACCCTCGGGACTAGATAGCCAAAATATCCATTTAATCCCTTTTCACCCCATTCCGCTCCAAAAATGCACTGATTAATATTTATAAGCTAGTAATATTAGGACTAGATTTCAGAACCAAATAATCCACACCTGATTTATTCTGAGACTGAATTAGAACATGTATATGTACTTGCTTTTTATTAAGAAAAGGCTAGTGGTATTAACTTTACATCATCCTATTTTTTAATTTGAAAGTCTTTACAACATGGACAGAGGTTGGGATCTCCCTCTCTCCTTCCATCTCTGCAGTTAAGACTAAGTGGCAGCACATACAGTAATGCCTCGCAAGACATTGCCTTGCCGGATGAAAAACTCGCTAGACAAATGGGTCCGGCGAGGTTTTTGGTGCCTTGCAAGACGATTGTTCCTATGGCCGTTTTTCGCATAACGAATGTGCTTGCAGAGGCTAGCCCAGCACCATTTTTGAAGATCACGCCCCTTTCCCCCTGCCTTCAGAAAACCTCCGAACGGGAAAAGAGAAAAAAAAGAAAGCCTTTTTCTATTCGGAGCCTTACCGAAGGCAGGGGAAAGGGTGCGATCTTCAAAAATGGTGCTGGGCTAGCCTCTGCAAGCACCTCTTGAGGGGCTGTGGGGCTTCCCTTGCACCATTGGAAGACTGGCGGGGGGTCCCTCCGAGCGGCGAGTGGCGCTTGCAGAGGCTTGTCCAGTACCATTTTTGAAGATCGTGCCCTTTTCCCTTGCCTTCGGCAAGGCTCTGAATGGAAAAAGGCGTTCTTTTTTTCTTTTCCTTTTTCCATTTGGAGCCTTACCGAAGGCAGGGGAAAAGGGTGTGATCTTCAAAAATTGTACTGGACAAGCCTCTGCAAGTGCTGTGTGCCAGGCCCTTGGGGGGGGGGGTGCCAGTCTTCCAATGGTGCAAGGAAAGCCCCGGGGGACCTCCTAAGGCGGCGATCTGGGTGAGGGGGGGGCGACAGTCCTCTGATGGTGCTTCCCCAGCTCCCTAACTGGTAAGTGACTTTTTTTTTAAAAAAAAAATTCCCATAGGAACACGTTAATTAAATTTCAATGCATTCCTATGGGAAACTGCAGCTCGCAAGATGAAAATATTGCAAGACGACCTTAACCCCGGAATGGATTAATGTTGTCTTGCGAGGCACCACTGTATTTTGTTTCTTAACCATATCCACTTCTGGCCACAGATTCCAGCCAATGGCTAAAGGCTTTCTGATATCACCATACAGCAGAAAGTAGTTTTCTATACAAAGTGGGTAATATAACAGAGAATATTCCTTTAAAGGTTTCATGTAAGAACAGCTCTGCTAGATTAGAACAAAGGTGTAGTCCAGCATTACACTTCACAACATAGCCAAATGGACACTCTGAAAGTGAGACCACAACTAGTGTCTAAAATACAGCAGCACAAAGAGTGTCAAATGTTTGTGTCTAATTTGATATCATAATGTTAACAAGTATTCTAATTGTTCTGGTAGGTGAAAAGCGTATACAGGATGTGCAGGGAGGCACAAGTTACCGTATTTTTTGCTCCATAAGACGCTTCGGATCTTAAGACGCACATAATTTTTAGAGGGGTTAAACAGGGAAAATATATTCTGAACCAAATAGTGTAATAAAATATTTAATACACTATAACAGAATAACATTTGAACCATGTAAAGTGAACAGCAGTCAACAGTGGCATTAAGAACCATTACCACTGTCATTAACAAATGGAGAGACTTAAAGCTTTGTGTACTCATGTACCATAAATTTAATTCAAGTACATATAGACCATTATCAGCCAGTGATAAGACCTATACCACGCTA